CATTAAGATAAACAGCATAACAATGTAATTAAGTCAAAGAGCCTTAGAAATACAGAGCTCAGGTTTTCAAAAGGCAAGGTCAGTGTGTGACCTTGTGAGACCACCTATCCTGGGCAGCCCAGCCTCGTCAGCACTACTGCTGGATGCTCACTGAGAGCCTCCTTGCAGGAAATGTTGATACAGCAATTCCAATGCTAAACTGCTGACATGAAGAGAACTCTATGATGCAGGCTGTTGTTGTGTAGATGTGCAAACAGCAGTTTCATGTTTAAGCCACAGCACACACACAGATGGAATGGGAAGAGCCCACAAGCTAGAACGGGATGAGAGAATTCCTGTCCATCTTCAGGGGAAAAAAGGAGGAGGCTGCCCAGAGACCACCCATGGCTGACTGGTCAACCCCATGGACCCCATCCAGCCTCCCACCCTACCTCAACGTAAAAGCAGGAACACTGAGTAAGAAAGGAATGCTAAAACACCCCTAGATTGTCTTCTCCAATGTGGTTTTTTTTTCCCTTAAGACTGTACAGTCTTTTTAATTCATAGCCAACACAAAGGAGAACAATTTTCTGTAGACAAGCCTTAAGGGTAGCAGACCTCTTCATTCCTTCTACCTGCAAGAAAATATCATTCTTGTTGCTTTCATTTCAATGATACTCAGTTTGTTTACATCTCTCAAAATGCTACAGTCATTTGAGGCTTCACCAGCATTCAGGTTTTCCTCTCCAGGTATTAACACAAATTCTTCTCTTGAAACAGTCCATGAAGTCATTTGCTAATTTTACATTCCTATCACTCTTAAGACCTCTGAAACTTGTGACTTGACAAAACAGGTCTGTCTTGTCCTGTTATTCAAATTTATCAAGATCATTTTCAATTTTGAGCATGTCCTTTAAAGCATCTATGACTGCTTCCAGCTTAGTATTAAAAAAATTCAGATGGTTTAATCAGTTTTAAGACCTCCCTCACTTACTGAATATATATATTTTTACAGTAAGATGACTGACATCATATTTATCAAATTCAAAACATGCAACTTGACTGATCCATAGCAATTAACACTGATGCACAAGAAAAGCTGCAACCCTGCATTACTGCTAAACACATCTAGAGATTATCACTAACAATATTTTCAAGTTTTAGCCTCCATATCAAACAATTTTAAAATGACACAATACAAAACAGTCTAAATGCTTGAGTTTAAGTGATGAAATCCATTTAAAATGTTTTAGAGCATGTTCCAGCACACTTGAGGAACTCTATACACAGCTTAAACACATTCTAAAGCCATCAAAAATTGTACGAGTTCTACAACTTCAACTCATTTTCAGATATTTCCTTTGCCACCTTCAATTATTCTACAAGTTAATGCTTTAGATGAGTGATAACTTCTCTTCAGTATTATTCAGACATTTACCACAGTTCATATCTTATTGGTTATGCTCCTCCATAGTCAAAGGTCATCAGATTTGTGTAAAATAATTACAAGCTTTTAAAAATACCCAAATCATAACAGAGTAATTTTGAATTTTAAAATAACTTCTTCAAATGCTGTACCTTAAAACACTTCTTCACAAATGAAAGAACTGTGAGAGGTCCTTTCACTGAAGCCCAGGTATTTTAGAGAACTTGGCAGACCAGAATCAATCTTCTGGCATCAAGCAGCCTATGAATCCAGAATATGCTCCTAGAAGTCATTTTCTCTCTTGCTATTTTTGTAGCTTAAATATATCTATAAAATAGTTAATGTGCTTAGGAGTATTATCCTTCTTGTTCTGCTCTCACCAACTAATGAGATTAGTTGTGTGTCTATGTATGTGTGTTCCTTTTTTCTCTAAATACACATGAATTGCTTTATGTCATTGTAGACAATAGTGTTTTCCTTTCTACATGAATATACTCAACTGAATATTCTTAAAGGATTCTTTTCCAGTTTCTCCTTTCTTCTGGCCTTTCTTAAACTAGGCTTGAGCTCCAACTATGAGCAAATGCCACTAGAGACCATCTCATTTGATACAAACATTCTACATGAAGCCAAAGATTTCTTCTGTAATGATAGCTCAGTCAGATTATTTAACAAACCACACAGAAAAATTAGGAATCATAATTAAGAAGAGATAAAGCAAGTACACTTCAATCCATCTCAATTGATGGGTCTTGGCTGTACCACAACCTTTTAGAAGAAAAAGTGATAAAGACCACAAGCAATAGAGAATTACCACAATTGCACATTATCCAAATGTGAATTTGTCAGATTTGGTCCCAGATTTGGTCCCATCCCAGTCTTTCTCTCACCTCATGGAGACAGCCAGAGCTGCTAAATGGTTTTTTTTGTCTTTCAAGCTACCTGTCCATTTCTGCACACAGGCACCCACATTAATAACCTGGTAGCAGCACCTTAGGTAACCACTTATTCTTCTGACACACCATGCAGAAACAATTGTGTATTCTGCATTCTGTGATGAAAAGAAGAAGTCCAGTTTCTAAAAGTTCTCCATTACTGCACATAACCCTTTGGATTTGGGAAAAAACATGTCTGGGAAGATGCTGGCTCCCTACTTTGTCTGTATTTTGTTATCTCTTTCCAATGAAAACACTTAAGTCAATTTCTCTATCAAAACTTGTCTTGCATTTTGACTGCCAAAATGCAGGTATTTGCTCAGTATTTGCAATTAGAACTGCTGGTACAAATAAATTCATCTTTTTAGAATACTTCAAAAGGTGGTTTTCCATCCTTTGAAGAAGTCATGTAATTGAAGCTGACTGCCTGCAGAAGCAGTAACAACTATCACTGAGTGGGACAGCTAATGTAGAGTCTTACCCTCTAAGCAGCTCTGCCAGTAAACTAATACTGGCCTCCAATTCTCATCTACAAGTCCAGAACCCATTTTTACTTATGCACAGCCACTGGTCTCCTAAGTTACAGGTAATTCTCATGGGCAAATGAAATCCAGAAAAAAATCCTGAAGATATTTATTGGTTTTGAACTTGTTACACTAGGTATCTACATGTCACTTACAGGTGAAAATCAAGTAGATTGATTGATTATTCAACTAATCCGAAAGGAGGTACTAGTAATTATGTACTCAAAAAAACCCAAAAAAACAGGCCCGCCACAGCCACACACTATCTTAATACATGGCTTGTGGCTATCCAGCTCCCAGCCACACAATCCATTACACACCTTTTCATTCTGTATCTCAGCACTCATGCAAGCACCAACCCAAACCATGCCACCCTGCCCAGTTCTTCTCCAAACAAGGTGAGAGGATACACATGAACAGCCTGCAACTCCCTAAAGAATTAGAGATCAGTTCAGATGTTCAATGGAAGAGATGTCAAATAAACTAGTACCATTCCAAATTTAGTTGAACTGAATTAACTGAAGACTGTCCATTATTTAGCTAAATACCAATTAAGTTACAACCTTTTTTTCAACAATTTAGTCTCACATATTAGAATTCTAATTAAGATGTTGTCAAATTCACACTATTTGAAGGCTCTTGTGAAAGAATCATATTTAACTCTGTATTGCAAGCTAATGACATCAGTGCCAGCAGGGCAGCAATCTGCTGCACCCACAGGGGAAAGGAAGCACTCCCATCCTACCATCTCTCAGATGACACACAAAAACCCTAGACCTAAAAGGACACATTCCTTCAAAATAAAACAAAGGCAAGCCAAAAAGCCAAAATACCCAAACCCAACAGAATTGACAGAGAGGCTGGAGTAGGATTGCCTTTTTGAATACCTACCCATAAACTGTCCAACTGGCCCACACTATGACCAGTCTCTCACTCACCACAAAATTAATTTCTGAATCAATTCAATGGCTTCACTAGAGCTGTTCTTAACACTGGATTTTTTCCTTTTATGAAATGAGGTAAGAAAAAAGACAGAGCTCCTTTCACAAGTATACATACATGTTACCTGCTGTCAGTCTCAATGAAATAACTATGACTTACATCTGTTCTAAATGCAAGCACTCCTAAACCTCCTCTTTTGCCTTAATAAAAGCTGTAATACAGAAACATGCATGAACTGGCAGCATGGCAAATATCAGTGTCAACAAGGTACTTCCTTTATGGACAAGCCATGCAGCTACATGCTAGCTGCTGCAGAGGAAAGAGTGCTTTTGTTTAATTCCTAAGTTGATAGAGATCCATTCTGGTGTTGTTTTACATTGTGCAGGAAGAAGCAGTAGTTACAAATTCCAGTAAATGAAGTTTTGCCAAGACAGATGATCCTTCCTTCCTATGTTATAGAACAATCACAATTTCAATACGTGGGCTGAACAACAATCAGTATAGCACCATAGCTTTTGTTTTATATACAACTATAATCTCCATAAGAAAATAAACTGCAAGTTTATTGTGTTGGCAAACCTGACTTGTCCATGTTTAGGTTCTAGCTCCATTGTGAACAAGCACAGTACAAAAATCTACCATGCACAAGAGCACTTTAATAAAAGGATATGGCCCACAGGGAAGAAGATTCCAAGATACAGAACAAGATTCTAGACTGTTAAAATGGACCACATTTCCATATTGAAGATAAGCCCATCATCTGACTGTAGAAAACATGCACAACACACATCTGGCTCCCTTGGGAAAGGTTTCATGATTCCCAACAAGATCCCTTACAAAGAACTCAGGAAAACCCAAAACAAATAAAAACACCAAACAGAAAGAGCTAATGCACAGGGAAGAAAAAAAAAAAGAAACCCACCACCTGCATTACATACTACAAAGAAAAAGTTGCAGAGAAAGAAGCAAGTCTGTTCATTAACCTGCATAATTTAATTCAGAAAACCTTTTTCCAAAGGGGAAAGGGGTAGGAGGTTGCAGATTTTCCATATTCAGTTAACTAGGAGCAGCAAACTCCCTCCCTTTGTCCCTCCCCTACAACTACTAGCTTCACACATCTGCATTGTTACCTTTACTTTTTCTCTTCTCAGGCAGCAGAAAAGACAATTTTCATCAAAAGACCAATCAGAAACACCTTCAGGCTCACAGTCTGTAAATCAGAAGAATAGCAAATTACTTCATATTCATAAACCACGACACAACTGGAGCCAAAAGAGAAATGCTGAATTAAATACCTGTTTCACAACATTCTTGCCTGCTTTCTGAGGATTCAGGCTTCATTTCGGCCATTTTTCTAAATCCCCAGATTACCAAACTATATACATTTTATCTGTGCACAACAAATCTGTTTTTCTGAGCACTGCAAAATACACTCTCAGCTACATAAAGATGAACGCACACTCATTAGTAATTTTAGCCAATATGAAACTAACTGTGAGCACTGCCTGGGGGAGGGGGAAAAAAAAGCACAAATCACCACGGTAACACACATTTTCTAGAGGCAGAGCTGAGGCTGCTTCTGTCATTAGAAATGCAGAACAAGATACAAACATAGAGATTGAATACCTTTAAACAAACTGAGATCTTTTAATAATCCAGGTCCAAACAGGCCTTCTAGAATACTTTCAAACCCTAAAAGCAAATAAAAGAATTGTTAGCTTTCTAGATTAGTACGTCACTACAATATTCACAATAGCAGTTCTATATTTATCTGTTCCAAGAACAGAGCTCAACACGTTTTCTCCAAGTATTACAAGATACACGGGTCAATTGTGATGACTGAACTACTGATAAATCATAGCACAGCCTAGAGTCCACTGACTCCTGCAGTTTTCTAAGTAGCTAGGTTAAAAACAAAGAACATTACAACATTGAAATAAACCATTTTCAAAAGAACATAGGAAGCTGCAGGCTCTACAACGCGACCGAGAAATTTCTACACAAATAAAAATACTCTCATTTAAGCCTCTGAACTGAAAGAAGGTAAATTTTCCCAATTTAAAAAATACATTCTTTCATCTCAGTGGCATTCAGTTACTTTTCTAAATTTCTGTAAACATTAGAATCAGTGTTTCCTCAAGAACTGCAGTTTTGAGGAGAGAAAATTAGAATGAGAAGGATTCAGCATTGCCATATTAGTAAGAAATCAAATTTCAATCACAGATTTGCATCCAAGACACACACAGTCCGATCTACTTCCAATGCCACGATTTATACCTCACTTAAAATAAATCTAATCAATATAAGTTTATTCCAGAAGAGGGAAAACATGCACCAAAATTACTGCCATTATTTGGAAAAGTTAAACCAATATTACACTAACCCCCTGCCGGCAGTAAAAAATCTACAGAGCTATTAACTACCCAGTACTGTGAGAAGATGGGTTAGCAGAGTGAGTATGAAAAGTACAAAGATTACTTTAGGGTGATAGACAAATTCCACCTCATAAAAATGCATAAAAATGGAATGACCAGAAAAATTCAAGACTATAACTTCACTATTGCCTGCCCTTCCCTCCCCCCTCCAATACTTTTTGCTTTGTAGCTTTAAGAATGGTTTGAAAGTAGCTAGGGGCTTCTAGCTTCTCCTACTTCTTTGAGTCTTTGAGTGGCAGAAGAAGAAATAAAAAACAAATTAAGAAACAAAAGTATGGTCTTAAATTTAGAGAAACTTGCATGGGTGAATCAGGGACAGATAAACTACCCAAAATAGCAATGTTTAAGACATCAGTCAAAATCTAAATGATTGTGTACTATGAAGGAAATAGTTTATTACACTTCAAAAGAGCAGTAATTCTAAAATAATTCCGACTTCATCCAGATCTAATATCTAAGTTATGTTTTGGAGAGCAGTCTTCAAAAGGAAATGACAAACAGTGTTTCATTCCTCTGGGTGTCAGCAAGAGTGTCAGTGCACCAACATCTTCAGCAATCCAACGCAGGATGCTACAGAATTTGCAGGGTGCAACATGACTTAGATGGCAAAAGCATTGCTGAGGTAGAACACTAAAAATATAATCTCAGAAAGAACCAAGAATCAAAAAAAAAAAAAAAAAGGTGAAATAACAGTCAAGAGTGAAGAGAAATAGGGAGAAATCAGAAAACAAGGTGGAAGAGGAGAAACTGGAAACACACCCCATTGAACAGCACCTTGTCAGGCAGAGAAGTAGCACTGCCTCCAAAAAAAGCCAATTCAGGCTTCAGGAAGTGGCAGGAACAGTGGGAAAGGGCCGACCAACCTGACCTAGAAGAAAAATAGGAGAATCAGGGTATTGACCCATAGGTTTGTAACGTTGAATAGTTTATAACGTTTTTAACATATGGGTAGAGACCCTCAGAATTTGACTCTGAAATGAAACCTTAAGGAAAATAGCTAACCAACCTTGTTCTTGATCTTTTTGTTTAGAACTTCTATTTTATGTATATATATATATATGTATAAAAATCAAAAGACTTCAGAAATTTTACTCAAACTCATCAATCTTTTAATAGTAACTGGCAGTGACTCATGCCCCACAGTTTGCCATGCATGCAATTGCACACTGAAGTCCCTGCCAAGTTTTACAGCTTGGATATTGTACGATCGTAGTTTGCTAGCCCACTGTTCTGAGTGATGCTAATGCCACTCGGGTTTTATTAATATTAAATATTGGATTTAGCAGTTGCATAGCAACAGCAGAACATCTTATGTGCAATGTTTGACATTAAAAAAGGCAAATAAGGGAAGTATGAATGTATTCAAAAATTATACTAGAGACTGGTAAAACTGCCATAAAGCTGAGCCCTATTCCCCCCAAATGCAAAGTGCAATGCAGCAAAGGCAGTTTAAGCCCTGTGATGTTGTGTTCAGTCATTCAGGGCTCCAAAAGAGCAACTGTGTACAGTTAATCATGCAGAATACATTGAAAACAAAATCTTGAAAAAGGAGCTGCCTACTTTTTATAGTATTTTTTCTCTCCATTGTCACTGCTCTTAGAAGCTTGAAAAGAACATTTCTTTTCCCACCGATTGTCCTTTTCCATTTGGCAGATGATATTTTCCTGCATTTCAAATGGAACAGAAATTAACATGGCTCTCTCTGCTAAATTCCAGTTTCTATATTTTCATCATCTGTATTTCAGTGTCTGATAGTTTATAGCAGCTGAAGAGCAGAGCCAGTGGAAAAGTTGCAGGAATAACAGAATTAGAAGAAAGAAAAAGAAAGAAAATTCCAGTATTTTAGAAATCAGGATTAGATTTTCAATATCAGTTGTATTTAGATCTCTGATATGCTCTTCACAATCAAAGCAGCCACATATTTAACTCTCACAAATGTTACTGGTGACCTTTCCAATGAAAAACACTTTCTGGATGTTAGTATAAGAATTTAGAAAAAATATTTCAATTTTAAAAAATCCCCCTGAATTTATAAACTCTCTTTTCCAGAAGGCTCTCTAGGAAGTGTGGAATTAGAAAAAATAAATCCCAGAACAAAGAAAGCAAACCCTTAGTACTGAAGCAAGGGTGGAATAACTTTTTAAATGCAGAGGTTGTTACACACTTATTCCTATTTCACAACAGTTAAACTGTAAACAAGTAAAGCCTCCCCTAAAACATTCTCTGGTAAAAATCAGAATATATATGTGCCATTTTTTCTGCTAAGGGTAGCAAGGAAAGAAATTAAAACTAAAGAGAAGGTGGGGGGGAAGGTTGACTATGCAGTCTTCAGCATGATCAATTTTCACTAGTTTTCTCTCTGCACCTAAACAGTTTTATTTTCGTCTTTTCTTGGCATTTTTACCCATCTATAACCATGTATTTTGGCAGAAATTTAAACTGTAATTGTAGTTTGATGGCTAATGGTGTAAGACAACGATTTAACACAATAGTTTAATTTAAGCTTTGCAAAGAAAAAAAAAAAGTTAAGCCCTCATGTCATCTTCTCCCTTAAAACTGAGAGCCCTTGTGATCATTAAGTAGCTACCAGGCTCCTTGGGATAACAGTATCTAGTAATGCAAATTAGCCAGAGACACATTCTCTACTATAAAAACAGGAATGCAAGATCTTCAGAAAAAGATAGGAATGCACTTCTGGAGTGCCATTGACACAGAGCCTAGCATGTCAAACAATGCTTTTTTCCCCCTAAGACAGCACAGCTCAAATATACCTTTGAATAGTTACTACATAATTCAGCCCTAGATATGTATCTAGTCAAAGCAGTAAAGCTTTACTTTAACGTACAGGTACAAATCATTTTAGGGGAAGTAAAAAACCACAGACTACTATTGCTCTGAGTGTATTATTACATAAATTGTTAATAACTCAAAAAAAAAATCAGCATAGCAAGGGCAGAAAACTAAAAGCAACATACATAGTTGTCAACTCCTCAGCCCTTATCTATGCATATAAATTTAATCAGTGAATATCAATTTATAAACTAAACCTCAATAGACTTAATGAGTAATACCCAGGCCAGCAGTTAAGTATAGTAGGTCACAGAACCAGAGAATCAGAATATCCAGAGATGGAAGTGATCCACAAGGATCAAATCAAACTGCAATGGACCAGTTGCAATAGAAATTAAGACAAGTGATTCATCAGCATTTATTTATAATAAACAATCAAATATATAGCAATTTGCACATTAAAAGGACAAGTTCAAAAAGCTGGAAATTTAGTCAAGTCACTTAAGACATTAGTTTGCTATATATTTTGTTTAAATTACTCAACCATCTAAGAACATATCAGAAACCATCAAACCCATGGGGGAGAAAACCTGACCTGCTAAATGGGGGAAAAAATTAAAAAAACAACAAAACCCAAACCCAGGTGACTAGGAGTAAAAGCACAAAGAGGAGACAAGCAGTTGGATGATGGACAGGAAGACTCAGAGCAGAGAAGTTAAATCAACACTCAGAAATGTTGCAAAAGTCAGAGAGGAGATGCAAACAGCTTTAAAGCAAGCAAAGATAAAATCAAAATCAAGGCACATATACATTGGAATTTTTAGATAAAATATGTAGGAATATGGTAGGATATTACAAAACGTTCAATAGAATGGCAATAATTCAACAAAATCTATCAAAGTGCTGTTACTAACATTTGTAAGTTGTTTTAATATTCAATGGACGTGTGCTGGGTTTTTTTCTGTGAGTTACTCAGAGTATTTGCAGCAGTGTTTAATTCCAAAAAGTCCTGAAATATTGTGGAAGTCCCAATGGGCTCAAAAAAAAAAGAAAAAAAAATCACTTTGAAATGTCAAAACATTAAACAAGTTAGTATCAGGGTCTCAAACTGGTAAAGGTTTTCAAACCCAATGAATAGTTCTTAGGAATTGATAGCAAAAATGGTATCAATAAACATGGGCTTACAGAAATTCTTATTAGAGTCTTACAAAACTAAAATTTTAATTAACAACAGGTTTGATATAATATCTTTAGACTTTTGGGCTGGCATGACACATCTTGACTAAAACCACATATTTAAAAAAACGCCCAAAATTAAAAAAAAAAACATTAAGCCAAACCAAAGGAAAAAAATCAGTCAAGTAAATACAAAACATTAAAAATCAATTAAGTGACAGCTCTTAAAATATTGGTGGCAGTGAGAAACTACTGGCAGTGAGGTCCATCAGATACTGGTTCTTGGCCCTGTGCCATTTGCCATTTCAGTCCTAGTCAGTGACTTGGAAGAAAGCAGTCACTAAATTTGCTGGAGCTACAAAGACAGGAAGAGCAGCAATTAACAAAAGGCCCAGGTCACAGAAGCTGCTTACGAAAGCAAATGCAATTAAACACTACTTGGAAAGGGGGGTAGGGGGAATGGAGAAAGCCACAAATCACACATCTAGGAACAGGAAAAACAGCTTCTCAAAGACATACCCAGATCCAGCAGCTGAAACTGGAAGCTGATCAAACTCAGCCAGACATAAGACACTCTTTAATTTTACAAGGGTCCAATTGAAGACACAAGACACGCACCTTAAGACTGGATCATCGTTTTCCCTACTCTAGGACTCTGAAGGTGTTACTTAGGAAAGCATAGGCTGGTTGCTGAGATCTATTTCCCTTTCATTCTCTCCCAGCACTTGGATTCATCATGCTAGGAGTCTCATTAACTAGTCTGAACCAAGAGCCACCATCACATCAGGTTTTTACTGGATTTCTTGTGCCTGCGTTTTCTGGTCAAGATTGGTTATATTTATCCACAGCTATGGGATTTGAAGCAGGAATTAATTCAGAAAAATCCTACACTCTATGTGTAACACGGGAATTCTGTCTCTTTTAGGACAAAAATCTATTAAACTTGAATGTTTCAGTCACAAGCATCTTAATAGAAAAGCAAGACCAAGCAACAAGGGAGGTGGAAAAAAGTCACAGGACAGTTATTAATATACACTAAGTCTCATGACATGCATATAATTATAAGTTGTGAATATTCTTTTATTCATGCAACAAAATAAAAGAAACTCCCATCTACCTATGATGAGAGATCTCGTTATCTGCATGGAGACCAATTAAGGACTCCAACTACAAGGTAAATCAAGTTTGCTTTAGCTTCTTGGGGAAAAAAGTAAAAGCTGTGCATCTCAACCAATTTTTCAAATTTCATGCTTCCCCATTCTTGTTAATGAAACTGCACTGTTCAGGGACTTACTGCAGACATTCCTGCTCCAGAGGATTATGAGGATCTTAAATATCAACCTGGTTCTTTAAGAGCAATATAGACACATGCATAGAAAAGAAAAGAACTATGGATGTTAAGACAGGTACTGCTTTAAAGAACAGATATACCCAAGTTCTGTATAGCAACACACAGCTCTTCTGTAGCTTTTTGCACCAGAATACCTTCGGTTCAATAACATGTGCTGAGGTCCCTAAACAGGAACTTGGAGCTCAAGAGAATAAGAATTTTGGCCTTAGAGTAGTGCATTGTTCACTGTAGAAGAGCTTGTCTCCAGTAGACAAGCTTCATTTGAAGCAATCAAGAAGTGAACAAGGTGCATGTTCTGCAGCCACTACGTCACTGTTACAGTAATTTACTGCAGCAGTAAGCTGAGAAATCAAAAAAGCAGCAAAAAACTACAAGAACTGTTGATAGAAGTGCTTCTGACTGACCATCAATCCTGCAGGACTTAATTAAAATTCCACAACTAGTTTGTAATTTTTATAAAAAAGCTGCAGCAGACCATCCTCACTCTGCTCCCCAAACAT